CACAACTATCTGTTCTTCAGTATGCTGATGATATTGTGTTGTATACATCTAACAAGAACTTATTACAAGCAGAATCAACTTTAAATGAAGCATTACGTCACTTTCATTCGTATTACAAAGACAAATTAAAATTAGATATTAATCCAAATAAAAGTTCTGTTATGGTATTTAATAAGAAAAATGATTATTTAAATTCTGTAAATATTGTATATAGTTCAGTAAATATTGCGACTGTCCAAGAAAAAGTGTTCTTAGGTTTAGTGTTTGACACGAAACTTAATTTTGATCGTCATGTAAATAAAATTGTCTGTAAAATGCAGAGGTCTGTAAATATAATGCGACATTTAGCTAGTGTAACTTGGGGAATGGATCCTAAAATTTTGAATGTTTTATATAAAACAATAGTTAGAAGCCATTATGATTATGCATTAGTAGCTTATGGAAATTATATTAATTCAACTTTGTTTCGTAAATTAGAAATCATACAAAATAGGGGCCTGAGAATTATTACAGGAGCTATCTGTTCCACGCCTATAAACTCTCTAGAAATTGAAGCAGGCATACCTCCTATATATGTCAGATTTCGGTATCTTTTTGAAAAAACGTTTATAAAAATTTTAGCAAATAAGATGTATTGTTATATGTATGAATGTAATAAATCTTTACAATGTGAATATTTGAAGGAATTGAAGTTGATATGTAAACACATAGACCATAGGGTTAATTGGGATTTCAGTACAACAGAAATTCATTTGACTACTCCTAAAGTTTGTCATGTTAGAATTGTAAACAATACGGAGTTTCTAGGATTCATAAACACTGAAAAACCTGTACATCGCAAAATTTACACAGATGGTTCGAAGACAGAAAAAAATACGAAGGCTGCATATTATGATTCAAAAGCTAAATTTGGAAGATGTTTTAGTTTGGATATAAACTCATCTATATTTACAGCTGAAGCTTATGCCATTTATACCGCTCTGCAATATATCAGAGGAATCAGAGATAACAAATATTTTTTGATTATAACCGACTCCCTTAGTGTCCTTACCTGTCTGGAGAATGCATCTATTTCGTATAAAAATAACACATACATCACAAAAATCAGAGAGCTACTAATGGAAAACCTAGACAAAGAAATTGAGTTCTTATGGGTACCATCTCACTCAGGAATAACAGGCAATGAAACTGTGGACAAACTAATGAAAATAGAACATCCAATATTAAACAACAATCCTTATCTTGCACCTCCAGTTCCGCTCACAGATTACAATGATGTTTTGAAGTGTCGAATGTACCACCATTGGCATGAAATGTGGGAAAACACAAAACTTTATAAAGGAAATTGGTATGCCCAAATTCAAAAAAGAATTCCACCCAAGCCTTGGTATTTCAAATGGAAATTTCCGTCAAGAAAGTTCATCACTACAATTAATAGATTGCGATTTGGCCATGGCAAATTCCCAGCACACTTGAAGAGAATCAAGATTGTTTCCTCGGATATATGCGAGTATTGTGAGTCAACAGCAGCTACATTAGATCATTTGATTCTGCATTGTCCTGCCTTCAATATCCAAAGGTTGCTTCTAGTAGATGGTCTAATGAAGATATATAAAGACGAAGACATACCCCGCCTCTTGCCATCGCTACTAGAAAATGAAGATACGTACGAATGTATTTACAAGTTCATAATTTCAACTTTTGATTTAATATGAAAACTTGATGCTGTGTAGAATATAAAAGGATTTTTTACCTTTATAAAGAACAATGTACTAAAGATGTGGCTGTATGGATATTTCCAAAGCCGTTAATAAATTAATAAAAAAAAAAAAAAAAAAAAAAAAAAAATTGTCTGTCTGTGCGTTTTGTTGTGCATGTTGCGTGCGTGCGTGTTGATTTTATTTCGTTTATAACCCGCTTGTCTTATTGAGAAAAGGATTTTGCTATTGCTTTAATACAATGACAGTCGACGGTGATGATAAACCTCCCCGCGATAGAGTATTTATGGACATTTCCATTGGTGGTCTACCCTCGGGTCGATTAGTGTTTGAACTTTATAATGATATTGCTCCGAAGACCGCTGAGAATTTCCGTGCGCTATGTGCTGGAGATATGGGTGTTGGAAAAGTAACTGGGAAACCCTTGTCTTATAAGGTAGGTGGCCAAAGCTCCGTTTTTAGGGTTCCATACTCAACGGGAATCCTATTGCTAAGACTCCGTCCGTCTGTCACTAGACTGTACCTCGTGAACCATGATGGTTCGACAGTTGAAATTTTCACAGATGCGGTATTTATGTTGCTGCTTTAACAGCAAATAATAAAAACAATAAAATAAATATAAATTGCCTCTTCTATAGAACCTTCTTCTATTTCCGATTTCCTTTAGTTTGCGAATTGTCTCAGCTTCTAAACATGTAGAATAGTTATGTTGTGCTTGATGTAAAATAAAATTAATTTAAATTTTATTTATTCTACTTAATGTATTCAACACAGACAGAGTCCTATTGAGTAACTTAGTTGAAATGTTCTTAGCATACTTACTCAGTTCAAATATATACATTTGAAGTATGAAAACTTACATAAAATGCATTAAGAGTTCTTGTATGTGTACTATTTATGTCCAATTAACTAAACACTATTAGTGCTAAATATGAGTTATTTCAAAATGTGTTGAGTATGTTGACTCTTTATATTATTTTTGTACTTCTTTGTAGTGTTGGTCATCTTAATTCACAATATTAACATGTTTTTCATTATAAAAAAAAAAACTTAAACTTCCTTAATTATTCTAGGGTATGGTGTTCCATCGAGTCGTTAAAGATTTTATGATCCAAGGTGGTGATTTCACAAATGCCAATGGGACTGGTGGTGAATCCATATATGGGGGCACTTTTGAAGGTAAGGTTGTTTTTGTATACTTATAATAGATTGTTCATTAACTAAATATACTTTATTTTCATAAACTTTGAACAAAACAAATTGTAATTGTATTAGTACTACAACACAATTTTCCTTACTTTAGTATTTACCATCCTAATGTTCTGTAAATTTTAGTCCTTACCTATACATATAAATTAAAGTCTATCTTTTCATAATTAAAAAAAGCAATGACTTAAGTATATCAAATTCAAATTAATTAATATAGCACACATGACACAATTCATATTATAAAAGGAAAACATGGTAACAAAACATTAAAGAGGCGACATTGATAGACAGACAAGTAATTGCATTAAATGTGTTACAGATAATAGTGTATTTTTTTACATTTCATGTGTTTTATCGGTTCATGTTAAAAGTTTTAATAGATTATAAATTACACACACTTAAATCCATTCTAAATTAGTATAATGGAATGAGTAGTGTTAAAAAAATATTTATAAAAATACATTTGTTTTAATTAAATTTTTATAAACATTTTTTTCTTCAATCTGATTTTTTACAGATGAAACATTCGAACTACAGCATGACAGGCCTTATCTATTATCTATGGCTAACCGAGGCAAAGATACTAATGGGTCACAATTCTTCATGTAAGTAATGCTGGGAGATTGGTAAGAGATGATATGTAATAATCTAACATATAGACACATTTCCTAAATAACAATACAAGTCATTCTTAATGATCAAATTATCATTTAGTATTTTAGCCACAGTATTAATATTTGTAGACCCCTATTTAAACCTGTTAAAGCTTCTTTAATTTGTATTTCTCTAGTTCTGTGATTAAAAATGCATTATTAAAGCAATAGTGTCACATTTCATCTACATATAGGAAATCAATATCTAATTATGATGGAGATGAAAATATATGTGAGAGTTGAAAATTGACAATTTTCTATAGATATTTTTTTTTCATCTGAACACTCAATTATATTACATTAGTAAATAATAATATCTTCAAGTTGAGACTGCCATTAGACTTTAAAGGAGTTGTCAACCACAATGAAATAAGCATACTACTCTATTACAAAATCTGTTTATTTCAAGATGAATTAATTTACTTACTTTATCAGTTTTTTTTGATTCGCTCACTGAATAGTACAGTGACACAACTCAAAAACCATTATTTCGAGAAAGCGCCACAAGATTGTGGTGGCATCCCATAGATAACTTAAAAAATAAAAAACTTAACAGTTATAATATAACACAAACAATTTAACTGTTATGCTAAAAAAGTGATTTTCATAATTAAATTTTCATAACTTCGGAGAGTGTTTCTCGAAATATGGTTTTTGAGTTGTGTCACTGTACTGTACTATTCAGTGAGCAAATTCTTGCTACAGGCAATGCAGGTACTTGATTTCTGTATTGTTAAAGTATAAAAATGTTTGTTGTAGAATAATTGAGTCAAATAGTATAATAAGCAGTCATCTTACAATTTGGCCAAAACAAGTTGCTTACTTTTTTGAATAAAATATTAATAACTTTCTATTACATATATAAGAAACGATAATAGAAAGCAACTGCTAATTGGTCCAGGGAAATCACAATTAATTTATTTCTCATATGTAGTACTTTTCATAGTATCAATTTTCTTGGCTTATAAAGGAATTGTTCCATAATCCTATATAAAAAAACACATGAAACTGTAGAAATACTTGATGTTTGAATTATGTGTTGTATTGTTAAATTGGCCTACAGTGGCTTTTATAGTGGCCCACAATTGAAACTTTTCTCTTACCAACATTTTAGTAAAGATTGCATGCTTACATAATTTTCTAGAGTTTAGAACAGTGGTTCTTAACTAGTGGTCCTCGGACTAGTATTAGTCCCTAGCAGCATCCCAAGTGATCATAGAGCAAACCTTTTAATTCATAGGTAGAGATCTATGTAGAGATAAAGTGAGTCTATCGGTTGATGACATAATAGAGATTGCCTGCATAGAGCTGGACCAGCTTATTGTACTGAGCATATATAGACCACCTTCGGCTTTCATTATAATATTTTTGAAATAGATATGATAAGATTTAAAAGGTTTACAGCAAAGGAAAACAATTAGTGTTTGGTGGTGATTTATTAGGAAACTCCAATTTGTCTACAAAACTTACAAAACTTTATGTCTTATAATCTTGAATATATGTTTTAAGAGTCCACTAGAGTGACTGCTACTTCGTCCACATGTATTAATAACATTTTTACAGATTATTTTACACAAAATATGTCAACAACTACCTTGAGATCATTTAGGAGTAATAGCTTTCCACATAAATGTACATTTGTGGCTAGGAGAGGCATCATAGTTGTGCCAAAAAGTGTCGGTCACAAACATTGTAATGTCTTATGGGGAAATGTTGGCGACATACAAACGATTTTTGTGCTTCTGATACAATATATTAGATCAATTTATAATCTAAGGATTAGGGACTCTTTAGAAAAATTTAAAGTAATAGACATTAAGACTGTTGTTTCTCAATACATATACGAGAACTTAATGTGCTTTCGTAAAAAATATTAGTTTATTTTCTACAAAAAGTGATATAAAAACTATGCCTGTCATATCTGATTATATAAAAGATATGAAAATGCTTGGACTTAGATGGTCCAGCATCTGGATAGGTCATTCCTCCTAAACTCCTGGATATAATTTTACAAAGTTTAAAATGTAGCGTGGGGCCTTCATATCATAGTTACGCCTCTGGTTGTTATATATAGGTAAATATGTATATGTGTATATTGGTGCATCGAGGATCAGTACCAGTATGTCGGTGCGCATAATTGAGGCAGGTGTTTATGTGTGTAGTGGGCGCTGCGGTCCGCGGCGGCTGCGCAGCCTGCCCGCTATCATTCTTGTTGTGTTCTGTGTGTTGTAGAACAACACAGCCGGCACCGCATCTCGACAAGTGAGTATTTAACTTTTAGCCTTACAATCAAAGACAGTTCCGATATTAAATTGGCTACTTGACAATTATAAGAATAAATTATGATATGCGATGAAAATGGTGACTTACTATATGTAAACGATAACTATTTTTGTTAAATTAACTTGCGATTTATAATTTGTCCATTACAAGAACCGAAACGCGGGCGGCCATGACGGAGCGTGGCGTGACGTCACATTTCAATAAACTAAACATTAATGTCTTTGTTGCGTGCGCGGCTAGTAGTGATGTTTGCTAAAATAGGACGTCACGGCTCGAAATATCACACGATCGTTTTCGCGAAAAATCTTATGAAAGTTTTAAAAACATTTATTATTAAATAGTCACGGAGCCAATCGGACAGGACCGTCGAGGTTCGTTAGTCATCGTTCAACGCTTACGGTTGCATTTCTCCTGCGTTAAAAAAAATAAAGCGTGTCCGTGTCTGTTGCGTGCAGTGTCCACGTAGTGTTCGGGGCGGTGGTGGGCGGCGCCGCGCTGGTGAAGCAGCTGGAGGCGCTGCCGGTGGACAGGAACGCGCGCCCGCTGCAGGACGTCACCGTCGCCAACTGCGGACAGCTCGTGCGGCTCCACACCGGTCAGTGCATCGGACTAACTCACTCATATTCGCAATGAGATTTAATTAGAAAATTCCACTTTGTCCCTGGTACTTTGAGATGGGTTTCGAACCCAGGGCCTTTCGCAATCCGGTCGACTGTTCTATCCATTGACTATCCTATTAGACTGACGAATTATTTGAGCACTTGTTACTTTTTCGCTACTGCAGAGTATCAGGTAATCCACCCGCAAACAGCCGAAAGAAATAATTTTGCGAATATTTTAAACTTTCGATAAAGATGAAAATTTGTTCTTATTATCATATATTTGAACAGTTCACAATATTATACTGGAAAATATTCTGAATATATTATTTTTAAAATGCTTAAAAGTAATATACTCAAAGTATAGTGGGGAATCAAAACAATATGATTTATTCAGTCTACGCTGTTACAAGTACTAGTGAAAGTCTATGGTGAAAGAAAGAAAAACTGGGTAACAAATCATGAATTTTGTGTGACTTAATTTATGGAAAAAAGGCCGAGTTATGTTTTACTCGCGCACGAAGGGTTTCCTTTCGGAAACGAGCAAAAAAAATCACGATTGTTGTACACTTCTATTGTTAATTACAAAAACTTCTAGTTTTAATTATCGACTATTTTTTTTTATTAAATAAGAAAAAAGTGACAAGATCATTTTTTAAAATTGTTTACAGCTAAAAAACGTAAAACTGACAAAGAGAAGGAGACAGAAGAGAGTGATGCTGACTCGGAGAAATCTCATAAGAAGGACAAAAAGAAGAAGAAAGACAAGAAAGAGAAGAAAAAGAAAAGGTTTGAAAAAAAAAAACATTGCAATCAAATGGGAAAATAAAATTTTGTTATTGGTTGTTTTGTTGTTAATGTTAATTATAGCCTATATAATCCGCGGCATTTTTTATTTTAAAAAAAAAAAACATTTTTATTAATTTTCAGACATCACTCTGGTCGATCTGAAGAAGAAGAAGAAGAGGAAGGCGAATTGCCCTCCCATCCCCTCGTAACTACTTCTAAAATAGACCCAAAAGAAATACCAGAGGTACCCACTAACAGGTTCCTTATGAGAGGTGGTAGAGATCAAGATAGACCTGATCCCAGGAGGGATAGAGAGAGGTATACGAATTTTTGATAAGCGAAAATTGATTTTGTGCTTTCGTTTCAAAGTTTACATTGACGATTTTGTTTTACAGTTTCTCTGAATACCTGATGTAAGTTAGATACTATAACTGTTACAGTTTTAATTATGTTGCGTAAACTGAAATTTTATATTGGGTTGGCACAAAAGTAATGAGACACACTAGAAAAATCTATAACATTTCCTTTTTAAAATCAATTTTTTTCGATAATATTCTAGAATGTTGTAGAACATTCTAGGTACTTCTGGTGTAGGGTATGTAAAGCCGCGCTCGCGATTTGTTTAGTCAGTTTGAAGAAAAATGGACGAGCGACAAGTTCGAACACTATATTTATACGAGTACTTGTTAGGCCACAGTGCGCGGGCTGCGGCTGACAATATCAACAATGCATTAGGCGCTGGAAGTACAAGCCATGCGACGGTGTCCCGATGGTTTGACCGTTTTAAATCAGGAGACAGGAGCCTTGAAAGTCAGCCACGCTCAGGGCGACCACCCGCAGTGAATGATGTCGATTTGCGCCGCGAACTGCAGTTGAATCCGGATGCTACCACTCGTGAATTAGCGGAAGCACTTAAATGCAGTTACCACGCCGTGAAACACCATCTGCATGAGCTTGGTTATCGAAAAGTTTTGGCTCGGTGGGTACCGCACATCCTTACAGACGCCAGTCGTGCTGTCCGTGTCGCTATCTGTCAGTCACTTTTGCTGCGACCCCGACGCAAAGAGTTTTTGTCAGATCTGGTTACTGGAGATGAATCATGGATTTATTACGAGAACGATACACGTCGTGCTTTTTGACTGCCTCGAGAAGCCACCAACTCAACCGAAGCCGAATCAAAAGAACCGCCGAAAAATTCTGCTTTGCTGTTTCTGGGATGCGCAAGGCATACTGTTTTATGAGCTATTACACAATGAAACTATAAACGCTGACAAATATTCAACCCAGCTTACCAAATTATCTGCCGCTATCAAGAAAAAACGACGAAGACGAGTCAATGTAGTTTTACTGCACGATAACGCTCGACCTTACGTCGCATCTGTGGTTCGCCGGCAGTTGGAGAACTTGGGCTGGGAGACGATACCCCACCCACCTTATTCCCCAGACCTCGCCCCATCAGACTATCATTTGTTTAGAGCCCTGAAACAGCATTTGCGGGGCAAACAATTTAATGATTTCTCTGACGTAGAGGCGGAGTGGAACAACTTTTTCGAGGCACAGCCATCAGAGTTCTGGGCAAAAGGCATCCAAACTTTGCCGGATCGTTGGCAAGAAGTCTTAGATACTAATGGTAATTACATCATTGACTAAACTTTTTTTATTGTAATAATAATAAAAAAGTAAAAACTTAAACCAAGTGTACGTGCTGCATTATTATAAAGTGTCATTACTTTTGTGCCATCCCGATAGATATTATTACAACAGAATAAGGTTTTTAAATCGTTTTATTGTTAATAAAAAGTCATTTTGTTTGAACAATTCTTTTTGTTTAAGTATTAACACTAAAAAGTGTACATGTTAATTCTAAAGTTATCGAGTTATTTGCGCTGGTGCTTAATCTATGACTGCAGAAGAGAATTCTGATGCTGATACCAGACTGCAATAGTGTCTAGGACTATAAAAAATTTTGTGATCGAAAAAAGGGTATTAATAATAATCAATATAAAACCTTTAGTTATTTGTAATGTGTTTTCTTATACAAAGGATGCGGTATCGTGAGAGGGAACGTCATTCTTACACACGAAGTGGCAGAATTATCAAAGGCAGAGGAGTTTTTGTGAGTGCCTATATTTTATATATTTTTGATATAAGAAAAATATATTTTTTATTTTACATATGTCATGTGTTTCAAGAGGTTTGTTTCAGAAACTAGAATAGGGTATTCTACTTTAAATGAGTACTTGTGATCAGTTGCACAAACGAATGAATTAATGAATGTCACATTTGTATGGGTAATGTCACTTTAAACTAATGTCGATTTTTGTTGAATTAAATGATAAGTCTTGCTAATGTAACAAAATAAATATTTAATATTGTACTATCTAATATCAAAACCTGTGTTCTGTGGTTACAGCAATATCTATGGTTCAGTGTTAAAACAAAAAAAAAAAAATCTCTCTGCTCAATCGTCGTTTCATTACAACAGGTTATGGGCACTAAATTTTCCACGTTAAAATTAAAATCAAAGTGAATTACAAAGTAAATATGTCGGGAAACGTAATTACAAGCATAAATAAACTGAAAGGAAGAGAGAATTATGAAGAATGGGCGTTTGCAGTTGAAAACTTCCTTGTCTTAGAAGGTATGGAAAAGTGTTTGAAACAAAATGGCGATGCAATGGATGCAAAAGCGCGAGCAAAAATCATTCTTACAATAGAACCTGGACTGTATGTTCATATTAAGAATGAAACAACTGCATCAGGCCTATGGACTAAACTACAAAGAATGTTTGACGACACCGGTTTTACTAGAAGAATCGGATTGCTACGAAACTTAATTTCAATTCGACGTGAAAATTGCGAGTCCATGGCACAATATGTGACCGCAATAGTGGAAACCAGCCAACGTTTGAATAACACCGGTTTCAAAATTAGTGAAGAGTGGGTTGGATCGCTACTTTTGGCAGGATTGCCTGACAAATTTTCGCCGATGATTATGGCCATTGAACATGCCGGCATAGATATAACGGTTGATTCAATAAAGTCAAAACTCATAGACATGGATGACTCGATTGAAGTCAGCAGCGGAAGCCAAAGTGCATTTGCCGGAAAAAAATGGCAACCCCGGAAACACGAAGGAAATCGAATGAATCGAAACTTAAATGTAGCTAACTTCAATACGTCAGAAACGTCAAAGTCAAACATAAAATGCTATAAATGTAAAAAGCAAGGGCACTACAAGAATCAATGCAAGTTTATAGAAAAGAAAAGCCAATCGAATGCATTTAGTGCTATTTTTCTAAGTAGTAAGTTCAAGACTACGGACTGGTACATTGATTCGGGAGCCAGCATGCATATGACAGCAAAGAAACACTGGTTGAAGAACATGACAAATCAGCCACTTGTTGACAAGATTGTTATTGCTGACAAATCAATGGTTTCTGTGGATTGTTGTGGTGATACACAGATAACAACAATAGTAAACAGCACAGAATACGATATACCTGTCACAGAAGTGTTGTATGTGCCAAATATTGCTACAAATTTACTTTCAGTGAGCCAACTTATTAAGAAAGGAAATAAAGTAACCTTTAATAACAGTAATTGCCTGATATATAACCGAAGAAATGAACTAATTGCAACAGCAGATTGTGTGGATGGTGTTTATAAGTTAAATGTAAAACAAATAGACTGTTTGTTTACACCAGTGTCGGGGCGTGTATGGCATCGTAGATTTGCACACTTGAATAGCACTGATCTTGACAAAATGAGAGATGGTGCAGTAAGAGGCATGTCATATACAGATAAGTCCCAGGTAAATAAAACAAACTGTGTGGTATGTTGCGAAGGGAAGCAATCACGGTTACCCTTTAATCACATTGGTAACAGAAGTGAAGAGTTGCTTCAGACAGTGCATGCAGATATTTGTGGTCCCATGGAAAACACTTCAATTGGAGGATCAAAATACTTTCTATTGTTTGTGGATGATAAAAGTAAAATGGTCTTTGTTTATTTTTTAAAAACGAAGGATGAAGCGCTGCATAAATTCAAAATATTCAAGAACATGGTAGAGAACCAAACGGGAAAACAAATAAAGAATTTAAGGACTGACAACGGTCTGGAGTTTTGCAATAAGCAGTTTGACAAATATTTAGAAGAAGCAGGAATATTGCATCAGAAAACAAACCCATATACCCCTCAGCAAAATGGAATGTGTGAGCGGCTTAACCGTACAGTGGTAGAAAAAGCCAAGTGTCTGTTGTTTGATGCAGGACTAAGCAAACGATTCTGGGCAGAAGCAGTGAACACTGCAGTGTATTTAAGAAACAGATCAGTTGCAACAGGTCTAAGCAACAAAACACCATTTGAGGTATGGACTGGTGATAAGCCAGATGTCAGTCACTTACGCATATTTGGTAGTAAAGTAATGGTACACATACCAAAAGAAAGGAGACTCAAGTGGGATAAAAAAGCAACCCAATGTATCTTGGTTGGCTATCCAGATAATGTGAAGGGTTATAGAGTATACAATCCCAACAATAACTCTATTTCAACGAGTCGAGATATAGTAGTGATTGAGGAGGGGAATTCTTGCACAGTTACAGAGATGCCAGTGTCCATAATGGAATCACAGCAAGATCTTGTCATAAAGACAGAAATACCAGACTCAGTGGGAGAGACCAATAGAGTGACAGAGAAAGATGAGAAACCAGAATCACGTTCCAGAGCAGTTAAGAATGCAGTCAGTGAGACTTCAAGCATGATTAACTCTGAGCAAGATGAGTTTCTCGATGCGGCAGAATCTCAGTCTCCTACTACATTTCCATTGGCCGAACAGCAGGAGCAACAGGTGACACCAGAAGTTCCAGGTATAGTGGCTGGGGAGCGTCGTTTGCGTAAAAAGCCAGAGCGTTACGGTATTGCTAGTGTAAGTGTGGTTAGTGAACTTGAATGTGATGAAATAACTTTTGAAAATGCTATAAATGGACCAGAAAGTGCTCAGTGGATACAAGCTATGAATGATGAACTAAGATCATTTGAAGAAAATGAAGCCTGGGAAGTTGTAGACTTACCTATAAATAGTAAGGTTGTGCCATGCAAATGGGTGTATAAACGTAAGATAGACTGTGATAATAATGTAACATATCGTGCAAGACTAGTTGCAAAAGGATTTCTTCAAAGACCAGGTATTGACTTTAATGAAACCTTTTCCCCTGTGTTAAGACATTCGTCATTAAGATTATTTTTTGCTTTAGCAGCTCAGATGAATCTAGATATAACTCATCTAGATGTGAAGACTGCTTTCTTAAATGGTTTTTTAAAGGAAACAGTTTACATGAAAATGCCAGAAAATTTTAAATGTAATGATAATAATAAAGTACTTAAACTAAAAAGGGCCATTTATGGTTTGAAGCAATCTTCAAGAGCCTGGTACCAAAGAGTTGACAATTTTTTTAAGTCAGTTGGTTTTAAAAGATCCAACGTTGAACCATGTCTTTATACTAAAATAAATAGTTCAGCTAAAATATTTATTGCCCTTTATGTGGATGATTTCTTTATTTTTTCAAACAGTGTATTAGAGACTGATAAAATAAAGAATAGCTTGTCATCTATATTTAAAATAAAAGATTTAGGTAGAGTTAAAGAATGTTTGGGCATGAGAGTTCATACAGACAAAGAAAATGGTATTATAACTTTAGATCAACAACAGTATATTGAAAAGTTGTCACAAAAATTTAATATTCAAAATTGCAAAGCTGTACATACACCTATTGAAACTAAGTTGAATTTAAATAAAAGTGAACAATGTAATACTCATTTACCTTACCAGCAGTTGATTGGTTGTATGATGTATTTGGCAGTACTTACTAGGCCAGACATTGTGTTTGCTGTCAATTACTTAAGCCAGTTTAATAATTGTTATAATGAGGAACACTGGACTTATGCTAAAAGAATCTTAAAATATTTAAATACAACAAAAACTTTCTGCCTCAAATACACTGTTAATGGTAATTCTAAATTAAAAGCTTATGTTGATGCTGACTGGGCTAGCAATGTATTGGACAGGCGCTCGTATACCGGTTTTTTCTTTGCTTTATCGGATGGTGCTGTTTCATGGGAAACCAGAAAGCAGGTTACTGTCGCACTGTCAAGCACAGAGGCAGAATACATGAGCATAGCTGATTGTTGTAAAGAAGCACTATACTTAAGAAACTTACAATATGAAATAACTAATGAGTCATATGTTATAACTATTTATAATGACAATCAGTCAGCACAGAAGTTGGCAAATGATAATTGTTTACATAAGAGATCAAAACATATTGATATTCGCTTTCATTTTTTCAGAGAACACTTAAATAATAATATTATTTGTTTAGAATATTTACCAACTTCAGAAATGCCAGCTGATTTGTTTACCAAAGGTTTAAATAGAGTTAAGCATTATAAGTTTATAAAAATGTTAGGTATAAATTAAATAGAGCACAAAAGTTATATAAAATTTTATTTTGTTAAGTGGGAGTGTTGAATTAAATGATAAGTCTTGCTAATGTAACAAAATAAATATTTAATATTGTACTATCTAATATCAAAACCTGTGTTCTGTGGTTACAGCAATATCTATGGTTCAGTGTTAAAACAAAAAAAAAAAATCTCTCTGCTCAATCGTCGTTTCATTACAACAATTTTAATGGCTGTTTGTGCAACTGGCTGTATGACAAAATTGGCTAGATGCAGATGCACCGATGTGCGAGCGTAATTGCTAAATTCCGAAAATTCTCCATTCCGCGACCGTGCCATAGAGTTCGTACATTGCATTTACAGGGCATTCAAATTAATAGCCATTTAATTCTAATATACCTACTTTTCCTTCATGCTTTAATCGGGCTTAGGACCGGCAAAATTACTTTTTGACTAATAATTTGCAATAAAAAATAAAATACTGAAATATCAAATTGATTGCTAGCAATAAAACAAATAAGTACTTTTGGCTTAAGTTAGAATCAATCATCATTTACTACTCGTACGAATCAGGTGTCACCTGACGGCCTATTCTACTCCGAAAACGAAATTTCATCAATTTTTTAAATGCCGACTCCAGAGAAACGCAATTTTC